TTGCCATACAACTGCACTCATAGAAATTTAAAAGACTACTAAAGCACAATTAGAATTGGGAAGATAACATGGAAAAGTAGTAAGGAACGTGAAAAATGTGTAAAAATCCAATAGCTTTTCTCTATAATCTAGCAGTATCTAGGTGGCTAAAAATTATAATGGACTTATGAAAAGTATAAGACCTATATATGAAGAAAGCTATGACATTTTATTAAAGGGTGTAAAACAAGACTAGAATAAAGGGAGGAACATGGAAATAAAGATAATATGATAAAATGTCAGACTCAATTTAATATTAAAAATTCACGCAATTTGAATCAAAAATCCCAATGGGTCTTCTAAAGGAAACTGGGTAAAATGATCTCAATGTTCCTACGAAAGCCTAAATGTCGAGAAAACTATGAAAAAGAAAAGGAATTGCCTTCTAGATATTAGAGTTCACCACAGAGCACTGTGAGTAAAACAATTTATTGGCACGAAAATAACAAATAGATCGGTAAAACGGAATAGACTTCAGAAATAAATTCAGTGTTATATATGAACTTATCACATAACAAAGTGTCATTTCAGCTCATGGGGGTCCGGAATGACTTACTTAATAAACAATACTATAATAATTGGTTCTCTACCCAAGAGGAAAGAGAAACTAGACCTCTTACCAAACAATATATGCCAAAATAATTTTAATTATATAAAAATCCAAACAAAATCAAAACAATACAAATATCTGAAGAAAATTTAGGTGTATATTTGTAGAACCTTGGTGTAGAAAATACCTTTTTAAGTAAGACAAGAAACCCCAGGAATCATAAAGGGAAAAACATAAACATATTTGATTATATAAATATTAGAGATTTTTGAATCTCAAAAGGCAACATAAACAATAATGAGATAAATCATGGACTAGAAAAATGTGCAGCAAATATATTAGAAAGCTAATAGGCCAAATGTATAAAAGACTCTAAATAGAAAATGGGGCAAGGGATTTGAACAGGTGATTCATCAAAGAAAAACTTCAGAGGGCTATTAACTCCATGAGGAGCCAGGTCAAAGCAGATTGAAACAATAATGGCATGGAGAGAGGTTTTCTTACCTGTGAGATTGGCTCTAACACTCACTAGTTTGTAAGACTGAGGGGAATGGGCCCTCCCATATATTGCTGTGGGAGTGTAAACTGCTATAACCCTGAAAATCTCAACATCTGACAAATATTTCTTTAGCACCTGCTACATACTATGTTGTTCTGAGTGAACAGCAATAAACAAAAATCCATGCACTCCTGGAATTTACATTCTAACAAAAAATAATTTGCTAATATCTAGTAACAAATTTTAAATAGCGCATGTCCTTTCACTTGGCAATCACATCTTGGGGAATCTATCTCACAGAAATCGAAGCACAGGTAAGGATTATGCACATAAGGATAGTTATTCTAGCATTCTTACAGTGGCAGAAAACTGAAAACAACCTAAATGTCCCTCAAAGGAGGAATTGTTGACTAAATTATGGTGGGTTCGATCTCTGGAAAGTTATTCAGCTATTAAAGAGAATGAGATAGAGCTTGGTCTATTGTCCCAGAGGGATGGATATGATATATTAAGTGACTTCCAAAGATGTGTAATCTCATTTTAGTCAAAAAATCCCAAATCCCCCACAAACCTCCTCTTGCTCTCTTTCCACATCTATGTTTATAGTTTTGTATGAGCATGTAGGGAAGGCATGGTTTGTTAACTGTGATTACCTCAAGGAAATTGGCTTGGAGGAAGTGTAGAGGTGAGATCATTGTTTATCTTTATACTTACTTTTTGTATTGTACATATAACATTTGTTATAATAACATGTATTTCACAATTGAAAAATCTAATAAAGTTAAAACTCAGTAAAGACATTTTTAAAAGGATAATGTTCTGGGTAATGGGAATGAGGGGGAAACGCATTTTACTTTCTTTGTACCATTCTGAATTTTCCATATTCTCTCCAAAAACAATGTGCATTAAAAAAATTTTAAGGCAACCGAAGTGGAAATACTTGACGTTTCAAAAGTAAATTGCTGAATATAGAATATCATCAATGCTGTAGTTATAAGACAAATAAAAGATTCATGTTTATGAACTAGGTTTGGAAAAGAAGATGAATAATCCCTTTAATAAAGTAAGTGGCATCGTGGATGATCATTTTTCCAAATCTTGGTATGAAAACATGCAATAAAAATAAACGGCAAGGTTTCCATCTTTGTATAGTTAGGTAAATTTGCCCTTTAAAAGTTATTTTTCTGAAGAAAAATTAAAGGATACTGCCCTGGGAGAAACAGGAACTAAACCTTTGAAATTGTCACCACCACCACCATAAGATGGGACAGTAAAAGTCAACACGGGAAAATGAACACGTATATGCAAAACTAAAGGTAAAAATCTCACACTTTGCTAGGGGGCTAAAGCCAGAGGGCCACCCAAAATTGCACTAACCCTTATTATATGAGGACAGCATAAGGGAACTCTTCTCCGCCTTCCCTGAGCCCCAGCCTGGGAGGGCTGAGAAAGAGGATGCAGCCATTCTCTCCCATTTGCTCCATTTTGCTGGTGAGAGACCAAGCAGTCTCTCTATAGCTCACACGGGGTAGGGTGGGCCCCACACCTTCAAGGAACTGGCTGCATCAGTCAAGGCCTAGATTGGGGGCGGGGGGATAGATTCAGCCTCTGGGTTTCCCAGTCTAGCTTTACTAGATGAAGTCACACACAACTGGTGGTTTCTTGTGTCTATTTTCAATGTGGTTAGGACCCAGAAAGGAAGACAGGTATAATTAGAACCTTCAAAACCCTAAGCAATGGCTCTGCAATACCTCCCCTTATTTCAAAGCCGCTCAGGCAAAAGGAAATGGATTCTGCTCTCAATGCACAAAAGAAAAGCAGAAACTGGCCTCTCTTGGAAAGCAAAGTAATATAGGTCTAGTTAACTATTGTTTTCGGCAATGCGTTTAGATATTTCTGTGGTAATTCACATCATGAATAAATGCCATCTGTAAGTCCTAAGCAGACTTTCTGCAGTGAAGTACCCTAGTGGCTTTACAATATCAGCAGGTCATTATAATGCCAAATCTTGTGTTCACCAGTATCAGTGACGCGAGGGATCAAGTGAACAGGAAAAAGCAAATAAAGGAAAATCATTCTTCATTTTTACTTCAAACTTTAATAGAGTAAGAATTTCCATCTCAGGGGTCATGAAAATGATTTTAAAGACCGAACAGGAGCAGATGCTATACCTATGTGCAATAGCAGATGCTATACCTATGTGATATTTTCATTGGTGCTAGAAGCGCTAACAACCGAAGGGGTCGAATCACTTCCAGCTTATACCATGTTTTAACTGTGTTTCCTCATTTGTGTGTGTGTGTGTGTGTGTGTCTGTCTGTCTGTAGCCAACACTCAACTAGGGTAACTGAAAACAAAATAGGAATTTATTTACAATAGCAAAGATGTCAAAGATAACAGGAACAATATATAATGAATCCAAGATTTATTATATGAAAAAGGCAAACAATATATATATATACAAAAATCCAAAAGGGCAAACTTAATTTTGACGTTATCTGAACAGCTGCAGAATGTGGCAAAATGGTTTTTCACATATGAATTACTTAACGTTGGGCCAATTAATTAAACACACACGCACGCACACTTTTCAGCCCTTGTCTTTTACTTGCTGAATCTTCCTGAGTTCTATTAACGTTTAAGGAATGTAACTTGGGGGAGGTCATACAAGATTTATGAAGTGCAGGCTACTTACATGTGCACTAAAGGATTTACTTATTGACTGGCAGGCTCACACTTTAAAAAGGGGCAAACCCAAGGTATAGTCTGAGCCCCTTTCACCTTCAACTGCTTATTTTTGGTGCACGTTATGCACGCATGTTTGTCTATCACACAAAATGCTGCACCATCATCTCTTAAATTACTGAAGTGCACTAAAAGTGTTTTCCAAACTTGAGCATGCATCAGAATCACCTGGAGAACATGTTAAGACACAAGATCACTGGGTCCCATGCCCAGATTCCCCTTCAGTGGGACTGGGGTAGGGGCGAGAATATGAATGTTTTACCAAAGTCTCAGGTGATGCTGCTGCCCGCTGCTGCCAGGCCACATTTTGAAACACACTGCTCTGAAACAGCACCCTCTTAGATTTTGACTGGTCATGCTCTTCTTTACATGAATCCTAGAATTTGTGAGAAATAAACTGTCAATACTAAGATTCCCAGAGAAGAGAGTAATATATGATCCGACTGTCTGGGAACGCAGACTGTTAAGATGTTATCTGTCAGGCATTCTATTACAACTAAGTTTCTGAACAGGCCACAATTTTGTCTGATGGATGTATGGCTCTGGACAGTTAACGTTCAGTATGCCCTCTTGATCACTTACCTCATCTTGATTATTTACTCTCAACTATTAGGAACTTTTTCCTACATAGTTGAAGATCTGCAGGACCTTCTCTTTAAAAATCAAAGATGGTTCACATCTATCTTGTTCTTGACTCCTGATAACTTTTACCTAACTTCTGATTTTTATTATGACAATGACTATTCTCTAGTATATTAGTGCCTACTAGAACCCTCCAAACTGGGCGCAAAGGGGTAACTCTAGGAAAGGGCTACTCCTGTGGAGGTGGGGACAACTCCCACTGATTAAACGTGTTATGGATTGATACTGAAATGAACTTTAAGTGCTCTCAAAAACCACTTTATACAAGGGAAATTTATCTCAGGAGAATTGGAGATGTTAATAAAACAAATCCTTTATGAAGATAAAAGAGAAAAATGAATTTCAAGGACCTGCTCATCAAAGGATTCATCAATCACCTATTAACTTCTCTGAAATATTACTTGCAAATTCACAGGGCTGCAATATTATCAGTATTTCCATCCAGATCACAAAATTCAAAGCAATCAAGCATTCTGCATTCCACTGCTGCATAAAAGGAATTAAGAAATGGGGAAATGAAAATAATCAGCTGCTTTTGATGTTTATTAGGTTTACAAAAACTGTACATTTTTCTTAAGAAAAAGCATTAACTTAGTACTGGTATCAAATAGACTAAACATTCATTAACAGGAAAATATTCTGATTTTTATTTTTGCACGTTATTCTCAAGTACACAATTACAATAATGTCACACATCCCTATATGATTTTCTTTTTATGTATTTTACTTTTTTTACAAAGTGTACAGAAGGAGGGACATACAATATTTAATAGGATATTTCTACAGAACAATAACTTATATTATGTCCTTGTAAAAATCTGTACCTCTTTAAAACATTTAACTGAAACATCCATTTTTTTAGCTTTGCTAATCAAAATTGTTTTAAGAATTAAAACTAGGTTGTAACTAATGTCAGTACATAACAGTGACTACAATTTGATTTTCTCTTTATACAGACAAATACATTTTATCATATTCACTTGACCAAACCCTTAAATACCTTTTAAAGGTTTCAATATTGTGCTTTAAAAAGAAAAGAACTGTGTATGATTCCAGACTATGTAAGAGAAATATAAAGTGTGTAAAATGTTGTGTTCTTTATCTTTCAGTTTATTTAAAAAAATATAGTTAAATGACCAATTATTTAATTTTCAAATTTTACAGGATGTTTTAAAATTAATAAATTCCCACTTTCATTTAAATGTTTTACATTATCTCTGGGAAAAATAAAAAATGAGAGAGATTTTAAAGGTTCTCACAAAAAAAGACAGAGCTTTCAAGAATAGTACTGCGGGGCAATGAATCACACAACGTTAAGTTACTTTTTTAAAAAAAGCACGTTATGGAGGCCAAGAGGGCACAGGAGTTCCCACAGGGATAGGCCCATGCCTTGGTTTTGACTGGTATTCAGGTTCAAATTCATATTAGCCTAAAGTACTTGATTTAGAACTGAACTAAATCAATCTAGCACTTCAGAGGCTTGCCAAACACCAAATATTTAGATCTCTAACCCTATAAACTCTTGAATACAAATATCGACAGCAAAAAGAAAGATGAAAGGTAAAAACCTAAAAGCACAAAGGGGATGGAGCACCATAATGAAGTGGCAAGGCAGCTATCAAGTGGGAAGAAAAGTCCTAAATCTCCCACAATGTGCCAGATACTCATGTGCCAACAGCCAACTTAAGGACCCCAAAACTGGCTTGTTCTCCAAAATTCATCTTAACGTAACCAAATTCTGAGCTCATTTTATGAATTTGTGACTGATTCAGAACCATTTGTTAAAAAATATCAACTCTATAAGGAAAACAAAACTGAAAGACTTGGTGATGTTCCCAATAAGGCCTCAGATTTTCCTCATGCACTTAAAACATACCTTTATCTTCTAATCAAAGCCAACTTGAGTGTTAAGTATTTTAAAGTTTGCTAACTGTAACTAAGAAATAACAAAGCAGGCTGAACTTGCCGAGTATAAATCATAATTAGCACCCAATCTCTGGTAGATGGAGCCATAGTAGTAGCTTCCATAGTCCCCCCTCACTTGGTGACATAGAGTTCCCTCATGGGCTTCTCGGAGAGAACCGAGGGAGGTATGTCTGGATACTCATTAGCTTTTCAGAAAAATATAAAGGCATGGAGCTGAAGTTGTATGAAAACATTCTATCTAGAAACATCTTAACTTCTACTTTTCAATTACCAAAGATATTTAAAAGAAAATACCTTTACTCTTTAAAAATACTAGTGTCCTTATTTTCCTTCTAATTCTTCACCTGAGTAGTCTCTCTGAAGAGCATGATTTACAAAATGCTCTCATACATCCCTGCATCTTTCATGTTATTGTAAATTTAATACTTTTCTCATTATAGATTTTAAACAACTACTACTTGGGGTTGTGTGTATAAATATGTAAAATAAGCAATACACACAGATACGTGTTATATATATATATATATGCATATATATAATTCAGAGTACATTTACATATATAAAGTTGCAAAAGATCCTATAAGCCGTGAATTACCTCTAGGAGATTCCAAAATGCAGTCCTCAATAAGTCTCATTGGTAGCACACAACCATTCCAAGACAAAGCAGCACAGACAGAATAATCAAAATACAACAGGATCAAGCAAAATTTCTCAATGAAGTTCACTAAAAGATTGCTATGCCGACAAAGATGTAAATACTCCAAAGAAAGCCCCTCAAAAGTATATTTCGTCTGCTAAACAAAATGAAAAGCAAACACAAACCCAGCCACTGTTCTTTACTCAGCAATGCCAGGGATGCAAAAGCTCAAATGGAAACTTTCATTGTCATGTGGTCTGAAAAGATTAAGCAAGACAAGTAAGTGACTTTCATGTTATCATAGTTAGACTTAACTGTAAGATCTCCCATGTATGTTAGTAGATGTCTCTGACAATTTTATTGTGAGAAATTTATGAGGGGAGGAGGAAATGAGTCAGTGTGATTACTTTCAGAGTAACCAATCTAAAGTTACCTTAACTTTAAGTTAAATGGTCTTAGAAGAGTACCATCAAGGTAAGCAAGGTAAATATTTAAATAAATATAAAACTTCTAAGATAGAAAACTTCAGTATAGAATCAGGGATTACTTTGTTAAAAGCAACTTGCTTGTTGCTGCTTTTCCCTATTGATTAAACAAACTGAATAGAAATCAGAACACGCTACTGAACAAAATGTAAAAAAAAAAAAAAAAAAGTCAACTAGAAGCAACAATTCCATTTGTACACAGCATAAATCAATATACAGTATTATATGTGAACGAGACTGGCTTTAAAATGAATTTTCTGCTTCAAGGCCAACGTCTCTACAAACGTCTCTAGAAGTACTGTTAGGGCAGGCCGACTTCTTTATGATGCCGCATTATGTGCTGGTTCTTTTCTGAAGGTCTTCGGAACCCTTTCTTGCAGTACTCACATCGGTGAGGATAGTCTTTTGTATGAATGGAAATAACATGCCGCTTAAAGCCTGAGGCGTCTGTAGTGCTATACTCACAGTACTCACACTGATATACTTTCCTGCCACTGTGTGTCTTCATGTGCTTTTTAAGCTCATTCTGTTGCCTAAATCCCTTTCTACATCTCTTACACCTAAATGGAAGATCTTTCGTGTGAACCGAAAGAATATGGCGACTTAGAACAAATGGGTCTGCGATCTTAAAGTCACAATGTCTACACTGGTGCATTTTTTTACCCTTGTGGGCAGCCACGTGTTTCTTGAGTTCTGAAGGCCTGTGAAAGCCTTTCTCACACATGTCACACTTATGGGGGTAGTCCTTCGTGTGAACTGAAATTATGTGTCGTTTCAAATCACTTGAGTTCGAACTCTTGTGGTCACAATGCAAACACTGGTGTGTTTTGCTTTCTTGGTGAATAAGAGCATGTTGCTGCACCTCTTTGGTATCTGAGAACGTCAGAAGACAAATGTCACACTTGAACGGCATCTCTTTACTATGCTTCGTTTTTACATGCGTTTTCAAGTTAGAAGAGTCTGCAGATCTATATTCGCAGTACTGGCATTGGTACGGCTTCTCCCCAGTATGGATCCGCATGTGCTTTTTGAGCTCTGATGGGTGGCGAAAACCTTTACCGCACTCTACGCAAATATGAGGAAAGTTCTTGCTGTGGACTGCCAAAAGGTGGCGATTCAGTAACCCTTGTTCAGCTGTCTCGTATTCACAAAATTTACACTTGTGCATTTTGTTGGCTCCTTTTTCCTTATGCACCATTTTGTGAGTAAACAAAGCCCCAGCATGAGAGAAATGCTTCCCACACTCATCGCATTCAATGGCCTTCTCTGCCTTGCTGGTCAGCTTGTGGCTCTCCAGATGATTGTGTAAACTTATCTTCTTGTTGGTAGTGTAATCACAGTCAGTACAGCGGTACTTCTTCTTGGTAAGGTGTTCAGGATGGTTTTTCATGTGCCTTTTCAAAAAGCCTCTTGACTTAAACTTTTTCCCACAAATCATGCAAGGATAGACAGTCAAGGGATGTCCATCAGGGCCAATAATTATTGCTAAGAAAGGAAAAGAAAGGTACATGAGTGGTCAAACCAAGTTCTGTTTTGGTATCTTCAAGAACTTAAAGTGTGTGTTCTGAACACTACCAGACAAGTACTCCTAAGTTAGGCTATTTGTTTAACATTCCTTTCACCATTTTTCAACATAAGAGATACGGCAACCTCATTATCTTTACGAACGTGATCTGAAAACTATATGACTGTACCAACCTCATTCCCTCCAGTTAAAAAAAATAAATGAATAAACATATAACTTCTATCAACTAGTGATTGAAGCTGTATCAATTTAGAAATCGGTGGGAAATTATTCATAAGAATAAAGTTTTGTAATCACAATCTCTGCTTTGGTTATTCCAAAAAACAATTCATGTCAATTTATAGTAAAGCTTAAATATACCTATAAATTTTTTAAAATGCAAATCGGCATACAATAGACAGGAATATGTCACATAAACTGAAGTGCCTGTCCTGCTGCTCTGTAAATTATGCCTGCTTTATGCTGACATAATCAGATTCTTTAAATATGTGAAAAAAGTTAATGCTTGTAACATATTTGAGGGATTTCTTTTCATTTCCAATTAAAATCACCCAAGTTTTGAATTTTTTCATCCATGTTTGATCCATTCCCTGTTTCTTTTTATCCAAGGAAATCATTCATGAATATCACTGAATTCTTAAAATTATATTTTCAAATTCAATACACAAAAGCTACATGTGGTCTAGCAGCTAAAATGCCATCACAACACCTCTGTGGAAACACTTAAGTTTCATCTGAGAGCTCGCAAAGCACGCTGCGCTGTGGAACTCGTGCCCCTCACCTGTTTGGTACTGCCTGGAATCAGGTCTTCTCCTTTTCTTTGGTTTTTGTTTAGCCAGTCTGCCGAGCCCAGCAGACTCATCTATGTGCAAGAGGGCACTTGCAGTGCCATTCCGGTTTTCAATTCCATCAGAATTATTACCTAACAATGCGTATTAAAAAACAAAATTATACTGTATTATAAATTATAAAGAATTAGGGATTCTTTATTAACTACGACAACAAAAAGTAAACCATGATACTCATGAATGACAGAAATTCCCCACTCTAGGTAATGGGTTTTATGACCACATTTATTATGGCAAGACCGTAGGAAATGGCCTAGCTTCCAAATCTAAAAAACACATGTCGGCATTTTGCCCCATGGACTCCTTTGCTGTCTCCCAAAATTGTAAAGGCATGTGCCAGATAGAATCAAGAGGAAAAGTTTCAGCTTGAAAGTCTGTGTACTTCTCTGTAGTACTTCCTTCTACGTAATATACACATGAAGGAAAATCCTATTAAAAATAAAGACAAATAGTAGACTTTATAATCTTCTATTCTTGTTCAAAGCAAAAAACCCTTACAGGGCTGTATTTCAGACTTCTGAAACCTAAGACCACAGAAACCATTTTTCAATCATGAATTCATGTTCAAGAACCAACTCCATCCTAAGAGCTGCTATGCGACTTACCATAAGCTGCTGCCCACGCTATTGGCATGAAGGTTTTGATTTCATTGTCATCGATTTGTTGTTCATGTGCGGCGGCCGCGGCGGCGGCGGCGGCAGCATCTTCTTCTCCTACAATCACTTCCATATAAACTTCATCAGCAATTTCAGCAACATCTAAGTAGAAAATTATATAAACTTTTGTAGCCAGATTTACAGAGATCACAGGAAAGATAGTTTCATTTGAATTCAATTAATAGACAAGTAGAAAGAAGGTTCAACTGTTGTATACCTACAACAGAACTTTCACATAGTAGGCACTCAAACATTTGAATGGATCATTTATTTCTTGTTTTTTCACCATTATTTGTTTTTAAAGCAACAGTCTAAGCATATGTAGTCACTGATTTTTCCCTTGGAATATGGCAGTATAATAATTTCTATAATAATGCTACCTGTTTCCCTCAAATACTGGCCATTAA